CAGATCACCCTTAGTACCGACACTGTAGTACGAACCAACAGGGGAAGAGTAACAAGTTCGACAACATCTCCTCGAAGAAGGGCAAGCTCGTATGAGAATCTTCTTGGGATAGCCTGTCATCAACTACTTTATACTCCTCATAGCACAGGGACAGTAGTACTAGGGTTGGTATGATGTTTATCACTTCCATCTTCATCTTCATGAACCTCTACACATATAAGACTAGCAGCACACCCCATACTTGATAATAACTCCTACTACTCGATGCAGCAGCCGAGTAATCAAACGGGGTACAAATCAAACAAACCTAAAACAACCCCTAATGAGATAGATCAGCACGTCTACTTGTTATTCTTCTGACCAGCCGACCCAGGTTCAACCCTCACAGCCTGAACTAAATACATAGAGAATGATGATTCTTCTCAACCACTGCTCACCCCCACCTAAACCCGTCTTTTGTTCACACCAGCCCATACGGGTCAATGCATTAACACAACCCTCTTAGAATCAGATAGGAGACGCCCTTCACAACCCACAACAGGAAAGGATGAGATCTTCCGTCCTGACTTACTATGCGAATGTCAGAATATAGATAATGATGAAGAACAGTTATGTATCTTCCATAATAGGAAACTATCAAGACGGACAATATCCTGTCCTTCCTTACACGCCTTCAACAAAGATCGAAATGATAGTATACAGCAAGTGATGACCAATGGTCGCTTTAGTCAACCAGGACATGCTTCCAAAGTTGAACTCACGAAATAAGGGACCAGAATCTATCGTGGCATAGTCGTTCGGACTAATATGTACAATAGCAAACGAGTATACGATAAACACTTCTACTATGCGGATGATTGTGATGAGCATCAAACTCAAAAAAAGGAGGTGTGACAGTAACTATACCACGACGGATAGATTACAACGCTTACGGGGTGTCTCGGTGATAGCAGCAGTAGCAATATTCACAAAGGGAATATGGCAGAAGTACTTGCATGAACTATCTTCCAGTACAGTTCATAGCAAACAGACGGCACGAGAATGTGAGCATCTTGAGTCTTCCTATATACAGACCGTAAGATACAGAATAGGATGAACGCCATAGCAACGCGATGGGATGGAGAAAAGCGGGGGCTCTCGCGAGAGCCAGGCGATGTGTCCTCCTATAGAACCAAAAAAATAAGGCTACCGAATAATAACAACCATTCAGCGAATGGGAAGGGTCTCCACAGAGGGGGGATGTTGAAAAAGTACAGTATCTGCTATTTTATCTAGATGTGACCTGAATGCACGCTCGCACCTGCCAACTAACACTAGATTGAGTCGAAATGGTGACCCTCGTCTTACCATGCACCTTCGAACCATGTCACGAATGTCAGACGCATTCACGAGGCTGAAGGAAGGGGGAGATTAATAAAACGATAAATAAGTTCTCGTCGCCGTACCAGTCATCATCATCGTAGATGATCGGAGTACGCACATCGGGCATGACGACTTGACTGGTCTCGGGTACGGTCGCTAGGCGAGCACGGCCGCTGCACGCACTGATCTTCCGCCTGCCGATGTAACGGGGGGAAGGCGGGTGAGAGGCACGCCGGGCGGCTGGGCTGAGAGAACCGGATGTGAGCGACGAACGATGGGAGAGGGCGACGTACTGTAAGGATGGTGGTTCAACTGCTCTTACGGTAAAGTCGGTAGAAGACAACATATCCATTTAGAAACGCTCTGAGTGATCAACACAGTATCGCGCACACTAAGAAACGGACTAGCAGGAGCTCTCGAACAAACACGAACTAAAGTTGTGAAACGCACCGCACAGAGAGGACTCGGAGACCCCGAGTCGGGGGCCGGAGCGAATAACCGAGCTACTAAGGACATCCGATGGCTAAACACATTTCCACACCTACGATCGACTGTGCCTAAACAGTAAAATCAAAGTTGATTACGCCAAGAATCGAACCAGGGAGCATGGCACCATAACCGGACACTCTAACCCGCTTGACTATTCAGAATTGAAGTATGGTGATTAGCTCACAGTCCCCTGTCAGAAGTCCATCAGATCTAAGATACAAACTGGCTACACTCCGTGGTATCGCCGTATAACCTCAACCACTCTTGTATGCAATGAATACCCTTCACTGTAATTCTCTATCGATTCTTTTTGTGCGACGATCCATCAGCTATCTCCTACCGTGTAAACAGAGTGTGACTGTCGTTCATATTGGAGCATCCACATTCGAACGCCGTCACTTACCACAATGCTCTCCACCACCCGTCGACTCATCCCCACCACTACTGCCCTCTTCAGAGCAACCACCATCGCTACTTCGACGGTCACACCAAACTTTGTGCCCAATCCCAGATTCAACCGGGCCAGGGCCTTCACTACTGCTGCAACAACCGCTGACGACAGCGACCCCGTAAGGTGGACGCCACTCTGCCGTCCATTACTCGTAGCCGTCCTTCATCGGCCCACTTCGCTTTACCAGGCGATTCCCCATGATACCTCTTTCTTCCTCAGGACTTCGCGCCCAAGTCGAAGATTCCTACCGAGGACGTAGATAGCGCTTCTATCAGGTTTGCATTCAAATGACAGGGCCTTGCAGGTCCACGAGAAAATCAGCAAGCTCGTGCACGACAACCGAGTTGTTCTTTTCATGAAGGGTTCACCAGCAGCGCCCAAGTGTGGTTTTTCCAAAGCAGTGGTAAATAGCATTCTCTGTCTGTGCCGTGCTCACGTCTATTCCTGACCTTTTCAGTGTGCCGTCCTCAGCGCTGAAGGCCTCACTGATTTCACGTACGTAGACGTCCTCAAATCGGATGCAGTGAGAGAAGGTACTAGTATTGCTTCCCCCCTTTCCTTCTCCTCTGCCACTCCCATCAACTACGGCTTCCCACCTGGGAGAATCGACGTGTACTTCTCTCGAACGAATCGATAATACAGCCTCTCTCGTTCTCTTCTCAAAGCGAGTGTCTGTCTAGACGGTACCAGTGCTGTGATGGGATCAGTGATGGTGTAGAGCGTATAGGAGTGCGAGCCAT